GAGCATTCACTTTGTAAAACTCCCTTGAGCTATTCTCTTATGACTTGTGCACCTTTCCTTTCATAAAAACTTGACTGAGCAAATAAAGTATGCAATACTACTCCAGGCTCCATTGCCCTCACATCCTGCCAGCGACAGGGGGATTAAGAGAGAGTTCGCAGTTGCAGCAGGAATTGGGGAGAGTTTAACAGGTGTTCTCTTTTGAATGGGCCACTGTGCACATTCTGGAAAGGGATAGTTAACAAGAATGATGCTGCACAGCTGGTCATGATTTGGAACTCGTTCTCAGGCCCTGTGGTTGGCAGCATAATGGCCTTCCAACAATGACCACATCCTAATCCCCAGAACCTGTGAATATGTTCTGTTACATGTCAAAGGAAATTAAGGTTGCTAATCAGATGGACCTTAAAAATAGGAGGTTATCCCGGATTACCTAGGTGAGCCCAATGTAATCACGGGAGTCCTTAAAAGTAGAAGAGGCAGGCAGAAGAGAGGACCAGAGAGGTGGCAGTGTGAGGACACAGCCTGATGTTGCTGGCTTTGAAGATGGGAGGAGGCAACAAGCCCAGCAACATGCAGCAGCCTCTGCAAGCTGGAAAAGGCAAGTATATGCACTCTCCCCAAGAGCCTCCAGAAGGCTCAGCCCTGCCAACATCTTGATTTTAGCCCAGTGAGAACCATTTCAGAATTCTGGCCTCCAGAATTGTAAGATAATAAATTTGTGTTGTCTTAAGCTACCACATTTGCGGTGGCAATAGGAAACTCATACAGACACTGTCTGGGAATCTCACAGAGGTCAAACACCATGCGGTGGTGATTTTCTTAGCAGAGACCTGACTCTGGGGATGGGGATATTCTTTGTATTTCACTGTAAATGGAAGAGAAGAAGGAGCTAGAAAATTCTGAGCTAGAAAAGTCAGCAAACAGGCCGGGCGCAGTGGCTCACGCCTGTAATCCTAGCACTCTGGGAGGCCGAGGTGGGCGGATTGCTCGAGGTCAGGAGTTCGAAACCAGCCTGAGCAAGAGCGAGACCCCGTCTCTACTATAAATAGAAAGAAATTAATTGGCCAACTAATACATATAGAAAAAATCAGCCGGGCATGGTGGCGCATGCCTGTAGTCCCAGCTACTTGGGAGGCTGAGGCAGCAGGATTGCTTGAGCCCAAGAGTTTGAGGTTGCTGTGAGCTAGGCTGACGCCATGGCACTCACTCTAGCCTGGGCAACAACAAAGCGAGACTCTGTCTCAAAAAAAAAAAAAACAAGTGAAAACAAACTCCCCTAACTGGGAAGGTGCAGGGATAGGCCCTACACAGCAGTGAGCTAAAACCCTTTGATTTAAATCAGTTTCTCCAAAACCATTTGTGGCAGGCAGAATAATGCCGCTGAAAGACATCCTTGCCTAATCCCCAGAATCAGTGACTATGTTACCTTACATAGCAAAACGGACTCTGCAGATGTGATTAAGTTCAGGATCTTGAGATGTGGACATAAACCTAGATTTTCCAGGTGGGCCCAACGCAATCACAAGGGTTTGTAAGAGGGAGATGGGAGAGTCAGAGTAGGGAGGGGGGGTTGGAAGGTGCTATGTCACTGGCTTTGAAGATGGAAGAAGGGACCAGGAGCCATGCTTCTGCAAGCATGCAAGCAGCTTGTAGAAGTCAGAAACACAAGGCAACAGATTTTCCCTAGAGCCTGCAGAAGGTACACAACCCTGCTGATGCCTTAATTTTAGTCCCATGAAACCCATTTCAGACTCCTGAACTCCAGAACAGCAAGATAACACTTGGTATTGTTTTAAGCCACCACATTTGTGAAATTTATTATAGCAGCAATAGTAAACTAATACAATAACCTAAAATAGCAACAGGGTATTCCAATGGACAGTGAGCCACACTTTCCGCAAGTAGACAGAAGTTCTTCCGACAATACTCTTAGAACTTCCCAAAAATGTTAGCAGGTTCACCTGCTCAGTCACTTTATTTTTATGTGCAGATATTTTGTGACAATTTCAGTTTCAGTCAACTTACTTTGAGCACTTACTATATCCTTCCCAGTGTGTTGGATAAGTTCATATCAATCATTTCATTTAACCCTCACAACATCCTTATGACCTAATATCACACCCATTTGATGGATGATACAACCAAGGCTCGGATAATAAAGGTAAGTATAGCTAATAAATAATGAGCATTTACTCTGAGCCAGCCATTGTACTAAACATGTATTAATTAATTTAATTCTCCCAACAATCCTAGTCCCCTATTTATAGACGAGGAAACTGAGGCACAGAGAGTCTAAGTAACTTTTCAAACTATTTACATTTACGAGGGGCTGGGGTGGGAACCCAGGTCTTTCCAGAGCCAAGATCAGTGTGCTTCGGGCTGTACCCCCAAAGCACACTGCACGCTTTCTATTGTACTCCCTCTCATCACTGTCAAAGTCACTGTCATAGTCATTACCACCAATTACCAACAGCAGCCAAGGCTTCTGGAATTCAGCCCAGCCCTGCTGTTCCATCTGAGCCCACTTCAGGCAGTGGTGGCTGTCTGCCGAGACACATGGCAGGGTTCAAGGATGACCTCACAGGCTAAAGCTCCAAGTGGCAACTGGTCCCTTGGAAGGCCCTCCCTGGCACCATTCACCAGCTACAGCACCAATACGCTCCCTCTCCTTGGTGCTTTGACCTCTCTTCCCCCACCCTCTGAGTTAGCCCCGCCTGTACTTTAAACAGAGGCGTCCTCCTTAGCTTCCCCAGACGACAAGGAATCCCAGGAAACGACTCTCTTGCATGTGCTACAGACCAGAGGGCAGCAAATCCAAGAGAAAGCCCTAGAGATTCTCTGCTGACTTGACTGGTCTTAAACCTCAGCCATTCACCACTGAGTCAGCATGTGCTCTCTCGCTGCCTGTCCAGCCTCCTGCCCCAACACCTTGGCCAGGCCAGTGTTACACCCACACACACACCCGCTTTGGCCTGTTTTTCCTGAGACCTGAGCCTGTCTCTCCCCCTTTCCCCTTTCCCACCCCCCAGCACACCCCTTGCCTTCTCTTAGGTACTAGCCAGAACTGTTTCTAGGCAAACTGTGGAATTTTCTGGAACCTCCAATGGCTCTCTTATTTCAAGGAGCAATTATCTCTTTCTTTTTCTTTCTTTCTTTTTTTAATTGTAAAGATGGGGTCTCACTATGCTGCCCAGGTTGGTCCCAAATTCCTGTCCTCAAGTAATCCTCCTGCTTTAGCCTCCCAAAGCACTGGGATCATAGCCAGGAGCCTCTGCATCCAGCATCTCCTCCTTTTTCTTTAAATCTTCTTTAAAGCCTTATTTCAGCTACTTTTTGCTGAACAAAGACATATGGTGCTGGCTGACAGGAGCATAGGGCATGACAACTGTCCAAGGGTATTTCAGATTTGACACCTCCAGCAAGTGAGTTCAGGCATTGGTGGCTCCAGTTTGTCTGGGTCTGGAGTCTGGGAACAAGGAACTTGGAGCCCTGATTTGTTAAAAAGAAGAAAAAAAAAGAGAGAGAGAGGCCTGGTAAGTTGGGGGCCTGAAACTGAATTCCACTGAAAGGAATAAAAGTTACAAGTGTGGACAGAGAGGAAAATGATAGGTAGGTATCTGCTTCTCAACAGAGGATTCTATAGGACCAAGCTTCAGGGGCTGCGAGGAAACTTTTCAGGCCATAAACCCACCTCGGTATCTTGACATGGTTTTGTGAGGCTGTCCCTTTGAAAGCAGGCAGGGAGAACTGTGCGGGAGTAGACTCGTGCATGGAAAACTCTAGCTAAATACATGTGGATTATCTGCCACCCTCACATGTCCATGGACAGCCTCCCTCCCCCTGAATTGGGGAAGAGGTGGATTCACTGCTGGGACCAGTTCTTGCTTTTCTGCAAAGACAGGTGGTGGAGCTCACCACATAACCCTAGGATGCTCCTAGAAATTTCTAAGGATAAATGAGTTTGAGACTTTCTCAGGAAAAAAAAATATATATATATATTCTAAGGCCTTTACTTGTCACATCTCATTTAATACTCCCAGCCCTGTGGGTGTTACCATGCCCATTAGACAGATGAGGAAACTGAGGCATAGAGTAGTTGGGTACCTCCAAGTAATCAAGCCTGTAAGCTTCATAGCGGGGCCTTAGACCCAGACAGAAGGACCCCAGAATCTCGGCTCTTGACCACGGACCCCTGCAGCCTCTTGACTACCCCCCCCCCAATGCCTCATCCCTCAAAGGCCGGCTGTAAATTTGCACTCGAGCAGATGCATTGTGATTTCCTGATTTATGGCCTCTTGGAACTTGGTCAGTTGGGTCTGTTCAGGGTGGGAGTGTGTGTTCCTGAGGAGAGTACCTTTCTGGGCGCCCAGTCCTCGAGACCCTCCTAGAACAGTCTCCACTTTTCCATCCTCTCCCCAAACTGTCCTAGGGGTGGGTTTCTAGCAACTACTATAAAATGCCCTCCCCTCTCTCCCTCTTCCGTAATACAGAGAAGCTGGAGCTTTAGCTGCCACCGCGAACCAAGAACAAAATCCAGATGCCACTGGCATTAAAACACCGGGCCCCGAGGGCGGGGAAACAGGACTCCTCGGCTGCCAGTTCAATAGGAATCACTCTGCATATCCGCTCAACAAGTCTCCGTTTCCCGGGTCGGTGCAGACCGGGTCTGGGAGTCCCCGCTGCGGGCACAGCGCCCCCACGGGGCACTCGGGGCGGCCGCCGCGCAGTGCGTCCCGCGCAGGGAGCGCGCCCGCTCGGGGGCCGGGGCGCCCGGACTTCTCCCAGCCGCGGGGCCGGGGCTGCGCGCCCTCCCGCCCCCGCCCCCGCTCTCCCCGGCGGGGTGCGAGCCACGGGCGCTCGGGGCCACGCGGAGCCGCGGTGGCCGGGCTGCGGGGGGAGCGCCCGCGCGTCAGCCGGCCCAGGCTCGGTCTGTCTGTCTGTCTGCACCCGGGGCCGCCGGGCCGCGCAGACCCCCGGGGAAGGCGCACCGCGCTCACCTGCAGCCGCCGCCGCCGACGGCGCCCGGGAAGCGGGACAGGGGCGCGGCCGCCCGGGTCTTCCTCTCGGGCCTCCTCGCCTCGCCGGGGGCCGCGGCCGTCCTCGAGGATCGCTCGTGGGAGCCGAGGAGGAAGCCCGCGCCGCTGCCGCTGTCTCCTCCTCCGCCGTCCGCTCCAAGTCCCATCCCAGAGCGCTCCCCTCGCTCGCTGGCTGCCCGGGAGGCTCTAGGCAAGGGCGGGCTGCGGGAGAGGCGGCGCCGCGCGAGGGTGGGGAGCGGGCCGGGCGGAAGGAGGGGTGTCCTCTTTGGGGACGGGGAAGGCGCGGGGGTGGGGAGCGGCGGCGAGGGCGGCCCCACCCTGCAGGCAGCCCCTGGAGCCAGGCGTCCTGGGCGTGCGCCCCGCCGCTGCCACCTGGCTCCACTCTGATGGTCCCCAAGCCCAGGCGCGGATCAGCCTCCAGGTGTGGGGAGCCTCGGGCTCAGAACAACGGAGACCTTTAGGAGTTTGTCGGGATAGGAGTGTAAGGAGCTATCTCCTGGGGAGCGCAGGCATGGCAGGAGTCCTGTACCCTGAACTTGGGTCATGATCTGCAGAGGGCATCCATCGACGACGATGAAAAAAGTGAGAATTGGGATAATTGGTGACAAGTGCCAGGAGCTGTCTAGGCAATGCCCCATCACCCTGCCAGTGCCAGTTCATTTTAACAGAGTCCACTGGCTGGAGACCAGGCCCCAGGGTGGGGAGAGGGTAAAGACGCCAGGACGGAGAGAAAACAAGATTCCTACCCTAAAGGAACAGTGAAAGTCTAGTTCAGACAAGACTTCTGAAATTATGGGCAAAGACATTTGCAACTTTGTGAAGTGGGGGGAAACTTACTCTAAAGGTACGCGCAGAGCCTTGGAGGGATGCTGGAGACAAGACTGGCTGGCGACAGAGAAAGTGGCCGGCACCCCACTCTCCCAGCTCCCCTGCTCCTGGCTGTTGGGGGAAGTGGGCTCTACATTAGGCCAGGACATCTCCTAATAAAGCTCCAAAATTCTATCCCCAAACCACTAACCAAAGCACCCCGTTCAGGTTTTAACAAGCTACAGGGAGAGGCATCCAAACTAAGGAGTTGCAAAATCTTGGGGTGTGCCAGTCTGACAATTTGGTGCTTTGGGCAGACTTTGTCTTATAATTCACCATCACTCCTATTTGATGTTAGAATTGGCTTCTGGAATATAAATAAACACCACGTAAAAAAATCAATTCTTCAGAAAAGCTCCAGGAGGGGTAAAGTTCCAGCCATAAAGCAAGGGGTTAACATACTCAAGCCATTGGGCAACTCAGTGGTACCATAATGCCAAGAATCTTGGATTCATGGTCTCTTGTTCCCTTACCCTGCACCTTACACCCACTGGGCACTCTTGGCTGCCTGCACTAATCAGAAATAGTTTCTTTGTTGTCTTTGGGTGGACGTTAAGTGGAGATTAGAAAGCAGAGGAAAATCTGCAGGAAATGTTTGGTGTCTAAAATCTTGAATCCCACAAAAGAAAACTCTTCCTGAGTCTGGGCCAGTGAAAATCCCCCAGGAGCCTGGGAAGTTGAGTTACAGCTTTTGGAAACTTATATTTAAAATGTGTTGCTTTATTCCAAGACACCAGTATGATACAGTAATTTACCGGGAAAACAATAGCAATCCCAAAAGTCCTTCCAAATTTTAAGGAAATTGTGACTTAGTAACTGATTCCAGTGACTCTGGTCTGTGCCAACTAAAATGGGTGTTTTTCCCCCCTAGGGAGTCCTACTGGAATTCTTCATAATAGGAAGTCTGTGTATGAAGCATGCTTGGGGCCAAGTCAAATGAGTTTTTCTACCTTGTGGGATAATCTTCAGGTCTGCCAGAAAAAAATGAAGCAAAGGCAAGTCCAATGTCCTGAAATATTTAGTCAGGACAAACAATGCCCTAATTTCCAGGTTACCTGCAGGGTGAGTGCAAGATAATAAGGCTGTTGGAGAAAGACCAAATTTGCTTTTTCTGCTAGAAGCCCTGATATGTGCTATATACTCAGCCTCATTAAGAAGTGTGGGGTTACGATTTTCAGTTCTCATGTGGGCACTTTGTCATCTCACTTGCTCTGTTCCTCTAGATGACAAATGATGTTTGAGTCCCTTGTAAACTGGTGGAGCCCCTCTCCCTCTCGCTCAAGTAGAAGGGCAGATGTCTCATCTGGGAGAGGAACGTCTCCCCACCCAGCCAGCTGCCCATTTGCTGGAGCTGGAGATGTGGGATTTCGAGGGGAGCACTGCAAGGTAGCAGCTGGGCTTTCACCCCAGCCCAGCGTGTCCTCCAAGGTGAGGCAGTGCTTTCCACATGCCAGCAACATGGACAGCTGGTTCGATGTCCAGAGGATCCCCTTGAGGACAGGCTGACTGATGGCATTATTGTCCCAGGTGAAATGATTTCTAAATAAACATTATCATCCCACCTTGGCAAGACATGATGAAAGTGATCAGGAAAAAACTGTAGCACGTTGAAAATCTGTTCAGGAAAATAGTATCATTTCAAAGGGGATTCAAGTGATTTTATGTGATCTTGAGGTTGGACCATATGAGCTCCTGAGGGCCGGGACTGGGTTACTGTGGCATTAACCTGAAGCTTAGAGCCTTGCAGCTTTTGTGGAATCAGTTCGATGCAGCTACCTATCAATTGTAGTGGTGGTATGTGCCTGTAATCCCAGCTACTCCAGAGGAAGAGAAGGGAGGATCCCTTGAGCCCAAGAGTTAAGAGTCTGGCCTGGGCAATGTAGTGAGATCTTGTCTTTAAAAGTTAAAGAATGGACCAGGCTCGGTGGCTCACGCCTGTAATCCTAGCACTCTGGGAGGCCGAGGCGGGCGGATTGCTCAAGGTCAGGAGTTCAAAACCAGCCTGAGCAAGAGCGAGACCCCGTCTCTACTATAAATAGAAAGGAATTAATTGGCCAACTAACATATATACAAAAAATTAGCCGGGCATGGTGGTGCATGCCTGTAGTCCCAGCTACTCGGGAGGCTGAGGCAGGAGGATCGCTTGAGCCCAGGAGTTTGAGGTTGCTGTGAGCTAGGCTGACGCCACGGCACTCACTCTAGCCAGGTAACAAAAGTGAGACTCTGTCTCAAAAAAAAAAAAAGTTAAAGAATGAGGCTGGGGACAGTGGCTCATGCCTGTAATCCTAGCACTCTGAGAGGCTGAGGTGGGCAGATCACTCAAGGTCAGGAGTTTGAAACCAGCCTGAGCAAGAGCAAGACACCGTCTCTACTAAAAATAGAAAGAAATTAATTGGCCAACTAAAAATATATAGAAAAAATTAGCCGGGCATGGTGGCGCATGCCTGTAGTCCCAGCTACTCGGGAGGCTGAGGCAGAAGGATTGCTTGAGCCAAGTTTGAAGTTGCTGTGAGCTAGGCTGAGGCCACTGCACTCTAGCCCAGGCAACAGAGTGATACTCTGTCTCAAAAAAAAAAAAGGTATTAAGGTAGAATAGGAATCTTATAGCATAGGCAAGAGTGAGTAGAAATACAATTTGTTTCCTGGGTTATTAACAAGGCTGCAACACAGCCTACCTGAAGAAAAGCTTCTACACTTGAAGTGGAGGATGGATCTCCTTTCACATGCATGGAAAGGTCACTCAACAACACGAAGTGCTGCTTCTTTCATCCCTAAACCTAGCAATTGGCACAAAGTGGCCCACTATTAGAAGCCAATAGCCTCATCTTTGTAACACTCAGTTACTTCTCTCAAGTCTAAATTTGCATTGGTTGTCTGGTATTAAATCAGGTAGCAAGATACTCAGGCAATGCCTATGTGCATCTGTTCTACAAAATCCCCCAGCACTCTGGCAGAGCTCTATAAGCGGGAATTCAAGAATAATAAAAATACCAGAAGTTAGGATGTTTCCATGTTCTCTCTTGCCGAAGAAAACAACTGGGACATGGTTATTACCAGGGTCCAGCAGAAGGGGAAACACTGCAGATGGTTCAATGGACAGAATAAAGTAATAAGCTGCTGAGTGTCTCAAATAAATTATAAGATAGAGAAAAATAGCACATAGCACACTAAAGTGAACAATTTCAACGGTAGAGCAGTCTCTGAGGAGCACCAATGGAAATGTCTTGACTTATTTAAAACAAGAATTGACATAGCTATTCCCAAGTATGGAAAGTGCCAAAAAATCACTGGCTACAAGCATACTACCTGTGAATAATGTATATTTTACAAGAAAGATGCTGTAGGCCAGGCATGGTGGCTCACGCACTTTGGGAGGCCAAGGCAGGAGGATCACTTTGCCCAGGAGTTCAAGACCAGCCCAGGCAACAGTGATACCATCTCTACAAAAAATTAAAAATTAAAAAAATTAGTCAGGCATGGTGGCTCATGCCTGTAGTCCCAGCTACTCAGGAGGCAGAAGGATCACTTGAGCCCAGGAGTTTGACGTTGCAGTGAGCTATGATGGCGCCACTGCACTCCAATCCAAGCAAAAAAGCGAGACGAAAGAAAAGGAAAGAAAGAAAAGAAAAAGATACTAAGAAGAAGAGGATTCAATAGTCAAAGTTTTTAAGACTTGAAAGTTTCTTTTGTTTAGAGCAAATTTCCAAATAAGTTCAGCATCCCTGGTCAAGCCTAGCAAGAGAGCACCTAGTAGCACTGCTTTGAGTGCCAGCCTACACATGGAGCAGAATAATATGTCAGAATGTTTTGTGAAAATCAATTAATGTAATACACCATTATCAAGAGTAAAGGAGGCCTAGAGTCCTGGCTCACACTTTGGGAGGCTGAGGTCGGAGGATCGCTTGAGACCAGGAGTTACAAGTGGCAGTGAGCTATGATGACACACCACTGCACTCTAGGCTGGGTGTTAGAGCAAGACTGTCACAAAGGAAGAAAAAAAAAAAAAAAAGGACAAAAGCCACATGATCTTTTCAATAGATGCAAAAAAAAGCATTTGATACAATTCAACACTCCTTCAAGACAAAACCACTGAATGAACTAGAAACAGAAAGGGACTTCATTAACCTAATAAAAGGTTATCTACATGTAACTCACAACTGACATTTTATTTAATGGTGGAAGACCTCAAGCTTTCCCTCTAGAATCAGGAATGAGACATGGATGTCTTCTCTCATCGATTCTATTCAGCGTTGTACTCTAAGTTCTAACCAAGGTAAGAAAATGAAATAAAAAGCATCCAGATTAGAAAGAAAAAAAGTAAAAATATTTCTATTTGCAGATGACATAATCTAATATGTAGAAATTCCAAGGAATACACTAAAAACTATTAGATCTAATATATAAGCTTAGTAAGGTTTCAGAATACAAGATCAATGTACAAAAATCAATTATATTTCCATATACTTGCAACAATCTGAAAGTGAAATTAAGAAAACAATTCCATGCAATAGCACAGCATGGGGTGAAAAAAAAATGTTCCACTTACAATAACATCAAAAAGGATAAATCACTTAGAAATAAACTCAATAAATGAAGTGCAAACCCTATACTCCGAAAGCTACAAAACACTGTTGAAAGAAATTAAGGAAGATCTAAACAAATGAAAAGGCATCCCATATTCATGAATTGCAAGACAGTATCATTAAGATGGCAATACTCCCCAAACTGATGTACAGTCAACATAATCCCTATCAAAATCTCAGAGGCTTCCTTGTAGAAATTGAGAAACTAATGCTAATTTGGCAATTCAAGAGATCCAGAGTAGCCAAAATAATCTTGAAGAGGAACAAAGTTGGCCAACTCACACAATTGCCTAAAGGTGAGAGCAACTCAAGTGAGCAACAACTGATAAATGGGTGAGTAAAATGTGCTGTGTCCATACAATGGAATATTATTTGGCTATAAAAAGGAATGAAATTCTGACACATAATATAAAATGGATAAACCTAGAAAACATGCTAAGCTGAGGAACTGTTCCTGTTCTTTCCCTTATCTTTTCGAAGTTTGCTTTCTGCTTCAGGAATTGCCTGCTGGCAAGAATTTGTTTGCTAGTGTCTATTGGTATGTTGTGATGTTCTTGTACAGGGTAAAAGACAAGGCTTATCACACGATCTTATAGGGATTTTAGTTAAATCTGAAGTGCCCAGGAAGTAGGTGAACAAGTCACTGTACTTGAGTCATATGTTAGCTGTTGAGGATTTCCTCCCACATACCCACGGTCTCAGGATTGCACAGGGTCTCAGATTGGTCGTTATCTTTCATGATACAATGATTTACTAGGAAAAGGAATAGAGAAAGCTCCTAAGCAGCACATCTAGCAATATTTTATTCAGAGCCCTACTGAATTAAGCTCACATAAAAGGGACTTGATCACAAGAACAGGAGCCAAGAATGCCATTTCTCTTTTATTTTAAATTTAAGCAGAACATTAGCTAGCCTCTCATCTCAGCAGTCCTTTAATCTTTCTTCAGAGATCAAGCCTTTTATTACTGGGATGCTGTTATCACCTTTACAACTTTCTTCTAAAAGCCCATTCTTCCCCAACTCCACTCCTGGCAGTGAACACTGCGCCAGCTGTGGCTTTGGTGGGGTTTGCTGGAGGAATGACCCTTCCTTTGTCTCCTTGCATGATCTATAAGCATGAAATGTTTTTTCCAGTGGGCTCTCCTGTGAAGACTCCTCTCTGTGGAACTCTGAGCTTTACTTTGTTGCAATCACTGGGGGTGGGATTACATCTGGCTTTAATTTTTATATGCTTATTTTTATTCTAGTAAATATGTTTTGAGTTCCTTCTATTTGCCAGACGTGTGCTAGGCACAGACAGAACAATAAGTAACACACAGACTCTCTGTGAGTTTCCAGTCCACCAGGGGATTGTAAACAAGAAAAGCAGTCACCGCCAGGGTAAGATGAGCCTTGACTGGGTTGCTATGGGAGAATTTATAGTGATGCTTCCCAGATTAGTGGGTCACAGAAGGCCTCTTGAAGGAGGTCACTTTCAAATGGAGACCCAAAGGAAGAGTTATTGGCTTTATGTTTTACTTTTTCTCACAATTCATTACTTATGTCATTTTATTTAAAAAACCCACAAGTTCACATTTCCCAATACCCAAGGTCATACCTGCATTTTAAAAATTGTTTAAAGAAATTAACTCTCAGAGATAAAGATGATATAGTACAATAACTTCAACAGGGCACAATAAAGCCTGCATTCCCATGGGATATGTCTGCTCTCTTCTGTCTCTGTTTGATAGGTATGAAAATAGACACAGTGGTACGGGCTTTCTGGGGCAGGGGCAGGGAAGGAGGCTGGGTCTTAAGATCCTCTATTATTTCTCCAAGATAGTACAAATCACATCAGTATTCTACCTACCAGCCAAAGCCTGAAACCTGAATACATATAGTCTTCTCAAGGAAGATAAATCAGTCATTTAAAATGATGCCTAATTTCCTCAAAAGGAAATTGCTCCCTTAAAACAATTAACCACTCTAAAAGGCCCATCTTAGTTGATCTTCCTTGGCCAGGCACGGTGGCTCACACCTGTAATCCTAGCTCTCTGGGAGGCCAAGGCAGGAGGATAGCTGGAGCTCAGAGGTTCAACACCAATCTGAGCAACAGGGAGATCCAGTCTCTACTGAACAAAAAAGAAAAACAAAAAGACAAAAAAAAGTACTCAGAACAAGAAAACTTTCCTTCTATTTGAACAATTATAGGCTTAAAAAAAAAAAGAACAAGAAAACCTAGCCAGAGATTTGTGGCACGCACC